AAAAAAAAAAAAAAAAAAATGCTGCTTCACAATAAGTACACTTTACAGTAATTTAAACTTGTGCAGTGCATCTGCATCTCTGTACAATTCTGAAAATGTAAGATGGTGCAAGCATGTGTGCCCTTACAGTGCCAGAGTATATTTTTACAATTTAAAACAGCAATTGCTGCCCTAGGATGTCACATCGGAGGGATGGAGCGATGAACATCTGTCATTGCACTGGGCGCCAACACAGAAAGGTTGACACACAATACAGCCACTAGCACATCTGAGACATTATTGGATTACCTATAATAATTTTTATCACCCTGCCATCTGAGCACAAAAAAGAATCGTCCTTGTGCCCAGCTCGTACAAATCCTGACCTATTTAAAATGATCTTTGCTCACGAATGTTTCCCTCTTTCACATCACTCAAATCTGTTCTTTGGTGTTCGGTTAAAAAAAAACAAAGAAACTAATCACACAACACCCACCCTTATTATCAGCATTGTAGTAGGGAACTTCGTGCTTTAGTTTTAGATCTGATCTAATTTAACCTTTAGTTAAGGCATAATCTATATTCACTTATTGAATTCTCTCATTAGATGGTTGCTTGAATGAGACTTCAATGTAATTTTGGATTACAATCAACTTTTACATGCCACAAAGTGTTCCCTAATTACTTTTAGGCAAACTAAATGAAAAGTGTAAAGCTTTTATTGCTCCTGTAAATGCTTACATTTTGAATTAAAACAATTAGTTATGTTCTTCAGGGATCCAATATGCTGAATATTTTCATCCATAAATACCCAGATTTGACTTGCTGACTGTTTTTTGGGCATGAAGAATAAAACAACACTGCATGTATTCTCTTGTTTGGGCTAATTTAGCACATGGGGAACAATCAGAAATATTCCTGAATGCTTTTTTTAAAAACAGATGTTTAAAAAATTAATTTAGAAGCTTTCCTAATCAAGCATCCAACAGTGTTGCACATTTGAATTATCAATTAGGTTTTTAAAATACGAGAGGCTGCATAACGGTAGCTCATTATCTTGTACAATTCCTGTTAATAGAACAAGGGATTCCTAGGTCTCATTTTCAGCTGTGTTCAAATTTGGACACACCACTTCCCTTAATAAGAGTAGATCAATGTCAAGTCAACTGGGCCCGAGTCTGAACTATTAACTGTTGTGTATCAGTACAGTTCCCTGGACCTTGCCGCTTGTTCTTCAGCCGTTGTTAAAGCTTTTATGGAAACCTCCATTAACTAGCTTCCTACTTTTCTCTCCTTTGTCCACAGACAGTTCAGTAGAAGTTGGAAGCTTCTCCCTTTTCATATGCTATTAGCATCTTCCTTTTTCCATTAATAAAAGCTGAATAACCTATCCATCATAGGGAATACCCTTAGTTTTAATATTTGCCCATTTGGGTCCTTCAGCATGTGTAGCTTCAAAACCCACCATAAGTGTAGAAACCATTGGGGCAGGATTCTTCAAAAGCACCCAAAATGATTTAGGAACATAACCCTCAATAAAGTCAATGAGATTTGTGTTCCTTAATCCTTCTTCGTGCTTTTAAAACACTTTCTACTGGAGTTCCACTCCCACCTGACAATATACGTATAGTCTTAATTTTGTCACTTGTCAACCATGAATAACATCCAATTCCCAGGAGCTTGTCAAAGGATTAACTGGATTTACAATTACTTTGAATGTAAAGTGTTAGTTGTGTATTGTAGATAATGATGTCATTCTGTGTAGTAGAAGTATCTTGAAATATTAATATATCTATTGAGCACTGAGTTCAATCCTTCCTAGATAAAGATGCTCTGTGCCCCAACTAAACTCAGTCTTGTTCAAACACATACAGTACAGACCATGATACAGGGGCTGAAGAGAATTGTTCACATTCTTGCTTAAAAATTAAAGAGCATCCTCCCTTCATTCCAAACACAAAGCATTTTTGAAAGGCACCGTAGCAGGAATATTTTACATGCAGTCTGAACCTAAAAGGAGTTAGTGCCAAGCCAAAGAGGTGTAGAGAAAAGTGAAAGAAAAAGTTAACGCTAACAATTGGGTGGCTACAAGTTATACATAAAGGAAAAGAGATAGGAACTGAGTTGTGCAGTCTTACAGATGACAATGGGAAGTCTGAAACAAGAGAACAAGAAGCAACTAATGAAGAGATCAGAAGAGGAAAGCAACACAGCCACACCAGAGAGGAAGAAAGATTACTAACGGAGATGTAAAGAGAGGGATCTGAAATGATAGAGAGTAAACCATAACACTCCACAATCAGGGTCTGAACACTGAGGAAAACGGAATAAAAAATAATATTACAAAAAAGATAAAAGTATAATGGGAAAGATAGAGTTGCCTGTAGTGATGCAGATGGATCTATTGGATTTGAAATGTTCAGAAGAATTGCAGATATATTTTTAAATCATAAATTTACATCCCAATAAATTATTTCATCTATTAGGATTTCTGGCTTTGTATTTCAAAGACAGTTACTGTTAAAAAACAAGTG